ACGCTCGGGTGTTCTGTCACCACTGGTTGCAGAGGCAGGACTAGGGTGATGCCTCCAAGTGTCTTCTCCACTGGGAAATATAGTAGAAGCTCTGGAATTAATTATTTCACTTCAGTGGTATACTCCCAAAGATAGTGTGTTAGAATTCTTTTTAAACTCCTATAACACAAAATATCAATCTCCCTCTTATACTCATATATAAAAAAAGGGGTCAATGAATAAATATTTCTTTTAATCAAAATCAGATCAAAACAATGCTTACTGCATATCTTTTATAATAATGGAATAACTTTGTTACCAAATCAAAATGTGAAAGTGCCAGCATCTGAGCCCGGCAGCCATAGTAAAAAAGGATTCCAAATCAAAAATGTATATAAATCAATGATTCCTTTTAAAACAATATATATCACCACCTAAACAGTAGAGAAATGAAGTGTAATTGCCCCAACGCATAACTAACCAAGTTAAGTTTTGCTATCGCAGAGAATGTGTGAGTGTTCAAATTGTTTAGATTTTATTCCAGATTAAGAACTAATCCAAACCTTAGGATTATCAGTCACTAAACACAAACTTGTCTATGGAAATATCGTGACCGCTGAACAATTGACTGACCCAGCAAATCAGTTTAATGGCTGGAAAGTACACTGAACAGCTCTCGCAAAATAAAGACAGGTATGTCCCACAGACCCAAAATCATCAGGATATAAACAGAAAATTAATTTTGTATTATTAAACTTGGGCAGACTCAGAGATTAAATAAGAGTATGTAGACATTGAAGATGTTTTCCACATGAAACCACATTAATAAATTCATCTCTCTGTTCTTTTTTATTTGCTTTGCTTTTACTGCTTTTTAGGATTAATGGACACGCTATTGATAAAAAGAGGCCAATTCAAAAATTATAACCAGGGTCATAGTTACCTTATAATCATTAGAAGTAGTATAAATGAAGGACACATGCCAAATATAGTGACTTAATAGTTCTATTTCATCTCTTTTTTTGTCACCCCAATAGGAGAGGTGGGATATTTACTTTCCTAAATTTTAATTAATAAGCACTTTCAGCTTAAGATATCCAAATGTCATTTAAGTTTAATGATGAATGTGCAAAAATATCCCTCCATGGCGTCCTCCCCTTGTGTTTCTTTCTCCAGGTGTCACATCTACGCACCGATGTTCCAGTGGATCATTGTTGCCTTCGTCAAAGAGGCACCAGAGCAATGGAGAATACTATAATAGAGAAAAATTGATAAAATATTTTTTAGAAATTCAGCGATGTTATTTGCAGGACAATTTTATGGCCAGCACTGCACCGAGATTACGCATTATGGTTTTTCAGACCACAAAGGTAATGTGATGTTCTGTTTGCATATCCCCAGTCCCAAGAGGCTAGAGCAAAGCCAAGTTGATATACCAGTCCCATTTACTGATTCAGTCATTAAAAAGTTTTTTATAAAACTGCTAGCCATTCTAGCCTTTCCTGAGTTACTTTGATAATTATATGACGAGTTTCAAATCATTAAGGTGACTTGAAGCTGGGTTTCAACAGAAAGCCTCCTATTAGCTCCACGGGCCAGCCATTATTTAATTAGCCTATCACACAAAGGCTCTGCACCTCAACGTACCCTAAATTTCATCTAGATCTTTGAGTTTAGAGAAATATTACTATTTGTTATTAACAAATTGCAGACTCAAAGTTGCTTTGGGTATGATTTGTTCATTTCTCCAAAATTTTAAAAAAGCAAAGCATATCCTACATAATAATTTTAAAATAAAATATACGTTAAACCTCTTACTGTAAGCCCTTACTTGACATTGTCAAATCTACTCAGCATTAAAAGAAACAATAAATTAATGATAGAAGAAGCTCTATAAGAAACTGACGTTAACCAAGATAAGAGTTCTCATTTTATAGTAGTCAGAGAAGAGAAAAATCAATATGCAATTTTTTTTCCAGTAATTTGGGGAACATTTTTGAAATGTACACTTCTCATCTAGATGATTGCTTGGTAAAAATGACCACTTTTCATCATTTGATAATTTTCTTTTTTAACTGGAAACGAAATTTACTCCTAATAGATATTTATAAAATATGGGTGACACTTTAATCAAATTCTTAAAATTAAAATGTTTTAAAAAAAATTAACTGGGGAAAAAAAAAAAAAATATGTTTGGTAGCACTGAAAAAATAGTTTCTATTTGTTTTTGCGTGTTATTTGTGATAGATCGTTTTTTTTATTAATGAAAAATTTCATAACATAGAAAAGCAGAGAAAATGTTCCAGCAGACCCTCCCTCAATCCGCACTTATCACTCCATATTTCAACATTATTAAACGATTTTTCCACAAAATTTTTCTTTGCATAACCCATTTGTATTCTTTTTATTTTTCGCTGAAAAATTTGAAATGCTCTCAAACATCTATTTACAGCCTAATACGTCATGCTAAAAGATATGGATAATTTACATAATCACCAATAACATTAACTTCCACTTAAAAAACCAAACATAATAGATACTTCCCCATTTTCTCAAAATTATCTCTTTATAGTTGTAACGCTACATATGATCAACAGCCAGCATTTGTTCTGTCTCTTAATTTCTTAATCTGGAACTTGTTATATTACTTTTCTTCTTTTTGTCAAGTCAAATCGTATATTCAAACATATGGATGCTATCTAACTTATAAACATATCTTATTATATATACAGCCAAGGTAAATTGGACAGCCTGTATATCTTTAACTGTTAATTTTTTCTCTTTCTACCTTATGACTTTATATCAGAAATCTTCTTTCTATTATTTTACTGCCATCCTTCCACCTCATAGTTTCAGGAATGTCAAATGTAACATGAAAGCTCCCTAATAAATTCTCCTAGAAACTGATATAATAAGTTTGGAGAACATTAGGAACAAATATTAATACATTTGATAAGTGCTATTTTTCCCTTAAAACCCCATGTGTGTGCACCACAGCTACATAAACATATATGTAGAGAGATGTGTGTCCCACCCATTATACAGAAGTAGGTATTAGTGTGGGAAGCCCAGGTGTCCCTTTCTGTTGCCACCCAAAGGAAGCAGTCTGGGCCAGGGTCCCCATTTACTGCCGCACTGGCCGGACTGGTGCCACCAAACCTATGGGTGGATTACTTCCCACTAAACCTCATTTCTCAGCAGTAGTCATGTCACAGCCAAAAAGAAATGGGAAGGAAACATGGTGCAATAGACAGTTGGACTTAAGAGTGATCATGGGTTTAGATCCAGCTCTGATACGGACCAGCTATGCCTGAATAAATGACTTAACTTCTCTGATGCTCATATTTTTCATATTTAAAATAGAGAAGAAAATCTAGAGTGATTTTATGTAATTTTAAGATTTTATATCCACATACTGTACTTTGGCATCCATCCCCAAAGTAAACAAATGGCCGAGACTTTGTGGCTTTTATTATATGATGATGATTGTGATGATGATGATGATGATGCTTAATCATTTTTAATCAGAATATAGATTGGCCAAGATGCTGTATAATTCTCAGGTAACCCTGATCTCTAACATAAACTCTAAGTATATTTTGGGCAATTAACTCCAACTAAAACAAATCATTTGGTTATTACTTGTCCTGAATGTATCCATATTTCATGTTTGGGGACATGTCATAAGAACTGATGTGACTTGGGCATAATCTTGAAAAATAACTAAGTGTTTTGATTAATACTTTAAGGGAACAGGAACAGGTATGTCTCTGGAACAGGTATATCTTACCAATATACAGAAGGAAATGAGGAAAGTGAAGACTGGGGCTTTAGTTTTTAATATTAATTCTTTTTTTTTTTTTTTGAGACAGAGTGTAGCTTTGTTGCCCAGGCTAGAGTGAGTGCTGTGGTGTCAGCTAGCTCACAGCAACCTCAAACTCCTGGCTCAAGCAATCCTGCTGCCTCAGCCTCCCGAGTAGCTGGGACTACAGGCATGGCCACCATGCCCGGCTAATTTTTCTGTAAATATTAGTTGGCCAATTAATTTCTTTCGTGTTATAGTAGAGACGGTCTCGCTCTTGCTCAGGCTGGTTTCGAACTCCTGACCTCGAGCAATCTGCCCGCCTCAGCCTCCCAGAGTGCTAGGATTATAGGCATGAGCCACCGCGCCCGGCCTAAATATAATTCTTTTAAACATAGAAATAAACATCCAATTTCACAAATGATTTCCAGATTTCTATTCAGTATTTACTAAAAGTTTTGTTTATTTTTCTCTCTAGAGCTTAGAATCACCTTAAAGATATTTTTATGATAATAAAAATAACGTTTTATACTTATTAAAAAATCAATCAAAACATTGATTTAGGCTGCCATAAAGAGACTTATCCAAATCAAAAGCACATGTTTATAAATCTTCATTCAAGGAGTTAAGAAATTTCATGATAGCTTTAACATTTCAGAGGACTTTGTTAAGTTCTAAAATCATCATTTTTTTCCCATTCCCTGGGCATGCTCCATCAGGCCCTGTAATTCAGGCTCAAGCCTGCCTTCAGGCTCTTTAATGAGCGAATGAGCGCACTCCTGGCATACCTGGGTCATGCTACAACATGAGCTCTTCTCTGTATTTAGGACTGCGTGGCTCTGTGTCTGTGTTTGTGTCTGAGCCATTGCTTCTGTTTGGATGCCCTTTCTTATTAAATTGGTAAAATCCTTGTTCAAGGCCTGGTTCAAATGTTCTCTTCACCTTTTATCCTGACTCCCTGGGCTGTACTTGATTGTTCTCACTTCTGCACCTCCAGGACCTCTGTGGTAGCACCCAGCACATTGTCTTATAGTCAGTTGATTATATTTTGTCCCCCACTCCCCAACTAAGTTATAAATTCTTTGAAGACCAAATCAATCTAGTATTCATTCTTGCATCTCCAAATGCCTAACATAGCCCTCAGCATTCAAGTAATGTTTAAGTTAATTAATTGTATATCTTTAAAGTTTCAATGGTGGATTTTGTTGTTTGTGGCCAGGATCAGCTGCCTATAGTCTCCAGTAAAGTGTACAATGCAGTAGCAAATCTCTGGAAACCATGGCTAGATGAAGAAGCTGTTCGAACTTTAAGGGGAGGTAAGCAAGAGATTCACTTATCCTTCTTTTGCTTCCATTTTTATTTATATTGATTAAAGATTTAAATAATGTTTGCTTGGACGTGCCAATTCTGGAGAGCCTCTCTACCCAATGTTTCTGGAGGACAGTGAGTAGTGACACTGCTTGTGACACACGTTGCAAACCTGTTTGTCTTGTAGGGAGCTCCTCCCTTCCTTTATTCCCAGTCAGTAGGTATGTCCTACATGAAGCAAAAGCTGAACTTTGCATTTGAATGTAAACGAAAGTATATGTTTCTAATTGGAAAATAGATTGAGAAGAGAGAATGGACACTGACATTTAAACAAGCAGCACAATTGTATAAAGCAAACAGCTGGTAAAGTGAGGATAACTACGCTTTTAACATAGAGCTTGAGATGCTTGGAAAAGTAATGTGTAATTATTGCACAGTAGAACCTTCCCTAGGTCATGTCTAAAGGTCCCCTGCTCCAGTGGCTCTCAACACAGCATTATGTAAATCCCTGACATTTTGTGAGCTTCACTCAGGTGCCTAGTGGTTAAACTAAGACTTTGGTGATTTAAAATTTTGAGACAAATATTAAGTTAATGGCTAGATTTCCGTCAGTTGAAAGTTTTTCTTAAACTTTTGGCTTTGACACGATTTTGTTGTTGTTTTTGTTAGCACTCAGCAAATCACAGTCTATATGAATTTGAGACCTGCTGTCTTAGAATTAGGCCATGGTCCTGATTAATCTAGGGAACTGCATCTAGTCCTGTACCCTCAGACCTGCAGGGCACATGGAGAGCTTGTGCAAGTATAAGGGAGAGCCACAAAGAGTGATCAAGATGCCTGAAGAGACACTCCGGATGCTAAGGAGGCTCAGCTTAAAGTAGACAGGGGCAGGCAGAGAAAAGATGACACATGGAATCCTGGCCCTAAGGAAGAGTCATGTGAGTGTCACACTGATACCCCTTCCAGTGATATCTGTCAAATCTCCAGTTAAACACTGGAGTGACATATTAAAGTTGAAAGTCATAAAAAGCTTTCTGTGAATATCTTAAACACAGAAGTGATTTGGAACAGAGATGCTCTGCATCAAGTGCCTCAAATTTGTCATCTCAGAGCCCCTAGTGAAAACTATTGTTATCTTCTACTAGGGCCTGAATGGCAGCTTTTCAAAAATAACTTCCAACAAATTCAAACCTATCTGCCTTGCCACTATGACAGTAAAAATCATAAGGTGTTATGACTACAGGGAAAAATAAAGGAAATTAAAGAGGCAGTTATTAGCTGTGACTGAAAGTTAAAGGAAGGCATGGTGCTGAGTGGGCCCAGGACACAGAAAGCCAAGCAAAGATCCCAATGACCAGCTCTGAAAGTGTCATTGCAGCAGACCCTCGGGTGTTCTGTCACCACTGGTTCAGAGGCAGGACTAGGGTGATGCCTCCAAGTGTCTTCTCCGCTGGGATTGTAGCAGCTCTGGGTTAGCTGATCTTTTTTTTCCTTCAGTGGTCTCCAGTAAGATCCATGTGTGTTGCCATTCTTTGAATTCTCTATTACACAATATCTCTCCTCTTACCTCATTAGTCATATAAAAGTAGGGGTCAATGTATAAATCTTTCTTTTATAAAAATCAGTCTCATTGCTTACTGCATTTCTTTTCATCTGAATATTGGATACAACTCTTGTTACCTCAATATGTGAAAGTGCCAGCATTGGCCCTGGCACATAGTAGGTTTTCAATCAATGTTTATTATATCTGATTCTTTTCTAATGACAGCCTGTATATATATCCACACTAAACAGTGAGAAATGAGTGTGAGCTTCCCAACTATACTGTAAGCCTTAAGAGTTTGCTTTCGCAATGTCTGAATATGTGTGTGTGTGTGTTTTAAATTGTTTTTATAGGTGGCTTTTATTCCCAGAAAGTTAGAACTAATCCAAACCTTAGGATTATCAGTCTAAACACAAACTTGTACTATGGCCCAAATATCGTGACCCTGAACAAGACTGACCCAGCAAATCAGTTTGAATGGCTGGAAAGTACACTGAACAGCTCTCGGCAAAATAAAGAACAGGTATGTCCCACAGACCAAAATCATCAGGATATAAACAGAAAATTAAATTTGTGTATTTATTAAACTTGGGGCAGACTCAGAGATGAATAAGAGTATTAGAATTTGAAGATGTTTTCACATGAAACACATTATAAATTCATCTCTTCTGTTTCTTTTTATTTTGCTTTGCTTTTACTGCTTTTAGGATTAATGGACACCTATTGATATAAAAAGAGGCCAATTCAAAAAATTATAACCAGGGTCATAGTTACCTTATATCATTAGAGTAGTATAAATGAGACAAGTGCAAATATAGTGACCTTAATAGTTTCATGTTTCATCTCTTTTTTTGTCATCAATAGGAGAGGTGGGATATTTACTTTCTAAATTTTAATTAATACACTTTCAGTCTTAGATATCCAAATGTCATTTAGTTATGATGAATGTGCAAAAATATCCTCATGCATCCTCCTTGTGTTTCTTTCTCCAGGTGTACATCATAGCACATGTTCCAGTGGGATATTTGCCTTCGTCAAAGAGCACCACAGCAATGAGAGAATACTATAATGAGAAATTGATAAATATTTTTAGAAAATTCAGCGATGTTATTGCAGGACAATTTTATGGGCACACTCACCGAGATAGCATTATGGTTCTTTCAGACACAAAAGGTAATGTGATGTTCTGTTTGCATATCCCCAGTCCAAGAGGCTAGAGCAAAGCAGTGAATATCCAGTACATTTACTGATTCAGTACATTAAAAGTTTTGTTATAAAACCTGCTAGCATTAGCCTTTTCTGAGTTACCTTTGATAATTATATGACGAGTATTCAAATCATAAGGTGATTTGAACTGGGTTTCAACAGAAGCTCCTATTAGCTCCACGGGGCCAGCATTATTTATTAGCTATCAACACAAAGGCTTCTGCAACCCTCAACTACCCCAAAATTTCATCTAGATCTTTGAGTTTAGAGAAATATTACTATTTGTTATTAACCTGCTAGACTCAAGTTGCTTTGGGTATGATTTGTTCATTTCTCAAAATTTAAAAAGCAAAGCATATCTTACATAATAATTTTAAATAAAATATATTAAACTCTTACTTGTAAGTCCTTATTGACATTGTCAACTACTCAGCATTAAAAGAAAAATATTAATGATAGAAGAAGCTCTAGTAAGAAACTGACAGTTAACAAGATAAGAGTTCTCATTTTATAGTAGTCAGAGAAGAGAAAAATCAATATGCATTTTTTTTCAGTAATTGGGGAACATTTTTGAAATGTACACTTCTCATCTAGGATGAATTGGCTTGGTAAAAATGACCACTTTTCATCATTTGATATATATATATATTTTAACTTGGAAAGAAATTTACTCCTGTAATAGATATTTATAAAACATGGTGACACTTTAATCAAATTCTTATTATGTAATTACTGGAATATTGTTTTAGGTAGAGGCACTGAAAAAACTAGTTTTCTATTTGTATTTTTGCGTGTTATTTGTGATAGACTCGTTTTTTTATTATGAAAAATTTCATACACATAGAAAAGCAGAGAAAATGTTCCAGCAGACCTCCCATGCACTTATCACTCATATTCAACATCTATTAAGATTTTTCCACATTTTCTTTGCATAACCCATTTGTATTCTTTTTATTTTTTCCTGAAAAATTTGAAAATGAATCTCAAACATCTATTTAAGCCCTATAGTCATTGCTAAAATATATGGATAATTTACATAATCACAATAACATTAACTTACTTAACAAAACCAACAATAATAAATATTTCCCCATTTTCTCAAAATTATCTCTTTATAGTTGTAAGACTACATCAGTGATCACACAGCATTTTGTTCTGTCTCTTAATTTCTTAATCTGGAACTTGTTTATATTTTTAATATAGTTAAACTTGATTTAAAAAATATATATGTTTATATGCATATTTTTTTCCAGGAAGTCCAATAACTTCTTTGTTTGTGGCTCCTGCTGTCACACCAGTGAAGAATATTTTAGAAAAACAGACCAACAACCCTGGTGTCAGACTATTTCAGTATGATCCTCGTGACTATAAATTATTGGTAAGTTGGCAGATTTCAGAGTTGACCCCATATTTATGCATGTCTTTGCAGTTTTCATTAGTTTAGTTGAATGTTTCTCGGCACAGCTATGAGAGATGTATTTTATGTTGAAATCTCATGATGTCCTTATTTTTTATTCTTGGAATATTTGTCAGAACTTTCTAAGTGTGGGCTGGTAACATTAGCCTTTGGGAGGCTGTTTCTTTCCTTCTAAGGATTTCACATTTATTTAGATGAAGCTTTCATTGGATGGTGTCATATTTGAGGACTTGTATACATATTGAAACTTTTCACTAAGCCATATTAATTCCTTCTCTCTGGAACATATCTATTAAGAAGAGTGTAGGTTCTGGACCTGTACTCTCTCTCATGGGCCATATTACTAAACTTCTCTGTGTCCCAGATTATTTCTCTGTAAAATGGGAATTAAAATATTACTGAATTCACTGAGTTGCTATGAGGATTCCATGAACAAATCTGTATGTAAAGCACTTAGAAAAATGGTTGGCCCATACTAAATGCTCAATAAGTGTTAACAAAAAAAAATTATTTTACAGAAAAAATTTGAGTTGAACATTTATGTTTGAGACAGAAGTTCTCTGGAACATGCTCATGTCTCTATGCTTTAGAACAATCCAAACACAACAGGTTGGCCATTTAGCTTATGGATACTTCAGTTTGGGTAATTGCCTCTTCCTACAAATATAATTTTAAAAATAATTCACATCAATTACAACTAGGGTTGATATAATTTTACTTTTTTCCTAAACAAATTTAAATAGGAGATGGCTCTATTATTCCACATAATAACAGAAGGAGGAGGTAGGGCAACAGAAATCTAGTTTAATCCATAAATGTTTGATTATTTGGGGAAATAAAATAATTGATAAAATATAGTCCAAAGGATTTTTTTTACAACTATTAGTTCCCTTTTTTTGGGATCTGAACCTCAGATAGATACATACACACATATGTCTATATGTGTATGTGTGTATATATGTATATGTATATATACATGTACTGCCATGGAAAGATTTTTCCATATAGCACCAAATAATTTATTTAAAAATTTTTTCTTCCTCCATTTATAAGTCACAAGGAGCCCCTCCCTTGCTAAAGTGTCACTCAAACCCCCCTCATGTCACTCTAAGCCCCCACTAATGGCACAGAGACCTTCCCCACCATGTGTCACCCGGAGTCCTTCCCTCTCACGTGGTACACAGAGCCCTTCCTGTCACGTGTCACGTCTAGCCCCGCTTCCACAGAGTTTCACAGTGAGCCCCGATGTGTCACACATAGGCTCTCCCCCGAACCACGCGGAGGTCACGCTGTCACATGAAGCCTCCACCCAGGTATCACACAAGCCCCTCCGTGCCGATGCACCCCGTAGAGTCCGCCTCCTGTCATGTTCGCACAGAGCCCAACACCCACCGTGTGTCACACAGAGCCTCTCACTCCTTTGTCACGCTCCATCCTTGCCCCCACTTTTGTATCACATGGAAATTCCCCTCCACCTATTTTTATACCAAGCACCTACCCCATTCATGTGTCACACGTAGTCCAAATCTCATGCCACACTGATCCTTCCTCCACTCTTGTGCCACTTGTAACCCTCTTCCAACAGTGCTACCACTGAGCCCCTTCCCCAAGCATGTGTCATACTGAGCCCCTCCTCCATCTGTGTGTCTCAGGGAGTCCCTCATTGTCACACTGAGTCCTTCCCATCCATGTGTCACCCTGGAGGCCCTTTTGCACTCACATGGCTCATGGAGCATCCTCCTAACGTGTCACACTGCATGGTACCATCCACTTGTGACTTAGAGCTCCTCCCCATCCGTGTGTCACACTGAGCCCTTGCCCACCTCATTTGTCATACCTAGCCTCCATTCGGTGCCATACTGAGTCCTTCCTCCACACGATAATTCCAACAGATCCTCTCTCCTCCCATGTACCAAATAATTTAAAAATACAAGCAGTTTGTACAGTAAGACTCATTTTTTTTAAAAGGCCAGAAGTAAGTGGGTATGCATATTCTAATATATTATGTTTACTTTGTATGTAAAGTCTAGAACAACACTATTGTGCTGGTAAATGTCTTACAACTGGCTCTTGAGGAAAAAAATGTCTGGATTTATAGTGTTGCCATTTCCTTGATCGAAATCTTCCTATCTTGGACAATTTCAAGCAACCAAAGTGACATAAGCTACTCACAACATTCCTAAAACTGTGACAACCAGCTTTTTTTTTATTTATTTTTATTTTATTTTGGCATATTATGGGGGTACAGATTTTAAGGGTTTCAATAAATGCCCATTTCCCCCTCCCCCCAAAAGTCTGAGTCTCCATCATGACCATCCCCCAGATGGTGCACATCTCACTCATTATGTATGTATATACGCCCCCCCTCTCCACCTGCCCAATACCCTATTACTGTAGCACCTATGTGTCCACTTAGGTGCTACTCCAGTTAATACCAGTTTGCTGGAGAATATATCTGGTGTTGTTTTCCATCTTGACAACAGCTTTTTGTGAGCTGGTACAAACTGCTCTCTAGCATACTACTGATTTATACAAATGATTAGGAATGGCTACCTCTGAGGTTGTGTGAATTGATCCTCACACCTCAGCCTCCTGAGTAGCTGAGACTACAGGTGTGTACCACCATGCCCAGCTAAATTTCAAATTTTTTTGTAGTTATAGAGTCTCACTATGTTGCCCAGGCTGGTCTTGATTTCCTGGCCTCAAGCAATCCTCCCACCTCGTCCTCCCAAAGCGCTAGGCTTATAGGCATAAACCACTGTGCCTTAGCTGAGACTTTTTTTTTTTTTTTTAATCAAGCCTCTTTTTCTTTAAAACTAATTCCTGGTTTATTTTTATGTTTTTATTTTTATTTTTTTTTGAGACAACATCTCGCTCTGTTGTTTGGGCTAGAGTGCCATGGCGTCAGCCTAACTCACAACAACCTCAAACTCCTGGGTTCAGGTGATCCTCTTGCCTCAGCCTCCCTAGTAGCTGGGACTACAGGCATGTGCCACCATGCCCGGCTAATTTTTTCTATTTTTAGTAGAGACAGGACTCCTTCCTGCTGAGGCTGGTCTTAAACTCCTTACCTCAAGTGATGTCTTGCCTCGGCCTCTCAGAGTACTAGGGTTATAGGTATGAGCCACCACGCCCAGCCTCTTGCTTTGCTTTTAACGACTATAATTTTAAATTAAGAATGTCACATAAATCGTAATGTGGGCTCTTATTGTTATACAGTGCTTCATGTGCCAAAAAATAAACCAGGCTTTGTTACTGTTTTTAACTACAGGATATGTTGCAGTATTACTTGAACCTGACCGAGGCAAATCTAAAGGGAGAGTCCAACTGGAAGCTGGAGTATATCCTGACCCAGACCTATGGCATCAAAGACTTGCAGCCAGAAAGTTTATATGGATTAGCTAAACAATTTACAATTCTAGACAGTAAGCAGTTTATGAAATACTACAATTACTACTTTGTGAGTTATGACAGCAGTGTAATTTGTGGTAAGATATGTAAGGCCTTTCAAATTTGTGCAGTTATGAATCTTGATCATATTTCCTATGAAAATTGTCTCAGACAATATTATATAAAGCACTGTCATTAGTACTTCACAGTTCATGTTCATGGAAAATGTAACATTGCTCTGTTTCTAAGATCAGTTTGTGGGGAATTTTATGCATATCCTTGTGAATTACTGAGTTGGCAAGCAGAATTCTTATCTTTATTTTCTTTTTGTGATGCCTAAATGTAGATATCTTTAGCATTCTAAATTTTTATTATATCGCATATATTTAAACTGCCCATTAATAAAATGATGCTTAGATGTAAATATCTGATCTTCAAGTTTATATAATTATGTCTAATTTATGCTCTTGTTGAATTTGTCATTTATACAATAAAGCAAAGGACTTTTTCCTAAATATGATGAAGTATTCTTAATATGATAATTTTCAATCTTCTAATTCATTCTTGTTAAAACCTCATGTATAAACTAGGTTAACACTTTCAATGCACGATCTTCTCTTGGGAAAATACCAAAGTCTGGGTTAGGGCATTGCTGAGTCTATAAAACATCATGGGGCAGGTATTGCCTAGCTTTCTCCCTTCTGTGAGTCTTTGGCACTACTAACTTTTAAGGGTGAGAATGTCAGAAGTTTTACTTATTGCAACTTCAGTACTAGTGCAAGGCCTGGTTCCTAGTCCAGTGCCCAGTACCTAGTAAATAATTGTTGAAATGAATTGAAAGCTGTGTCTGTTTCTCAAAGAAATATGCTAGCAAGCAGTGGTGGCATTTTCTTTGTCATGATATTTCAAGAGAGGATAAAAATGAACTTTTATTTAAGGAGATTGTTTTTAGGGCTCTCCAATGGCTAGCTCAAGCTGTTTCCTGCTTCTAGACAAACTGGGAGAATTAAAGTAGAGGAGAGAAGGGGGAGGCTGAGGGACTTAGGGGAAGAGAAGATTGTATACCCCAGTACTTTGGCTTGCTGGAAGACTGTTAAAGGAAAAAAATTCCTCATGACACTTGTTAAAGATGGTAAGGCAGACTGTATTCAAGGCAGGCCATGGTGATGGGTGTTGGGGCCACTGCAACAAAATCCTGCAGTAGGGGAGAAGGAGTGGACTCAATTCTGACTGCCATGACGTCAACAGGGATTTATAACCAAGAAGCAGGGTAAGGGTCAGTGGATGGAAAATTACTAGGAGGAAACATGAAAGAAAAGGCAGGCCAGCATGCTGAAATACCAAGGGTGGTCAGATAAGGGTGGGGGATTTTTCCTAACTGACTACAGAAATTGCTCAACTGGATTGTGAAACAGAAATGGAAGCACAGTGTTGACCTAGTCGAACAGAAATCAGAGAAGCCTGATTAAAGTTTTGGTTAAAGACCACAACATGCAATCAAGACATACAATCAGCAACCTTAGGTTGAGGAGAGTGGAACTCATCATTCTCATAACTGGCTTGACTTGTTATATTAAAATGACCTTTAGACAAAGATCTTCCATCCATAAATGAAACCAACTGTCCTGATTTCCAGAGGGCTGAGAAAATAAATACTGATATTACAAAATAAAGACAACTACACTAAGAATTAATCCTATTCATTAGAGAAATTTTTCTTTTAATTTAAGTTTAAAAAAATTAGTATGTTTTAGAAGTGAGAATACTAAAACAAGGCAAAATTCTTGTTATAAAATAATCACATCATTTAGAAATCATCATGCCTGCAATTGTATTTGAAGTTGGTACTTTCAAATGACTAGAGCTAGTGTATTTATATTCTATATGGTGAGAAGTTCTAAGATAACAAGTTTGCACCATATAAGGAAAAATTTTAAAACAGTGAAAAGCAAGGATGGTGTGAGCTGACTTGGGAAGTGAGTCCAGTCGATAACCCAACCAGTAGGACTTGCAGGGTTATCTGTGGGAAACTCTCATCTGTGGTGTTTGGATCACATTTAGATGGACCATACTACCCATTCTCTAGAGTTTAAAATTTTTAATGGTACCTTTTGTATTCAGTTTACTTTCATCTTAAAATAGAAATAAATGATCTTAAAATCTGAGTGATATTTAGGGACATTATCAGTATTTAAATGAACTTTTTCATTCTAAAATCAGAGCATGTTACAATTTTTATTGTGATTTATTTCATATTATGTCCAGATATATAATGAATTTTATTATGCCTACAGTGAAATTTGTCTTAATTTTCCTCTGCTTATTGACGGTGCTTTGGCAATTTCATAAACTACATCCAGCTTAGATTTTTGAAACTGCTACTTTGAAAACAGTTAAGAGTCATGTATAAAATATCTGGGGCAGCATTGTTTGTAATAACAACAGTAAGAACAACAAAAAAAACCCCAAACCTCTAAATCACTTAAATATACATCAATAGGAGAATGGATCAATAAAATATTGTTAATTCAAAATGAGGAATATTCAGGAGGCTGAGGTGGGAAAAATCATTTGAGCCCAGGAGTTTGAGACCAACCAGCCAGGGCAACATAGCAAGACCCCATCTCATAAAAAAAAAAAAAGAATGTGAAATACTATATAGAAGTGAAAACAAACATGAATAAATATCACAAGCCTGATAATGAGGTAAAAAAAAAATAGTTGCCAAAGGATAAATACAATATAATACCATTTATATCGAACTTTAAAAGTGCAAAGATAGAATAAACTGCTTAGAAAAATATGTAGTAGACCAAAAACAGATGTATTGGTAAAATAAATATAAAACACAGTACAGGAGAGTTGGAGGATGGTGAATGGGAGAGTTGATTGGGGAGAGATACATAAAGGAATATAACTGTATCCTGGCTTCTTGATGTTTGCCTTATTTTTCTTCATATATTTTGTATATATTAAATATTAAGTAATCACTTTTGGTAAGGAAAAATGGAGGTCCAGCCTTTAAAAATGATGACTTTGGCTCTTCTAGGGAGAACTAGTTATGGTGAAAGCATGGAGACATTGAGGGGTTTGACGTGGTCAGGCTGACAGGGGGTTGTAGTTAGGCTGAGGAGGTGGCAATGGAGAGAGGTAGCTCCATTCATCACATAATTTGGAAGTGGAAGCAGCGGGATTTGTTGGTGGCATGGATACACGAGATGAAATATAGAAAGAAGTAAAGAATAACTCCTGGATTTTTGATGGAGCAACTGGTAGATGGTGGTATCATGAGGAAGTTTGGATTACTAGAAGAGGAGAGGGCTCATGGGGAGGGTATCGGGGCAGAAGGATAGATTAAGAATCTCATGGTGTGTTACAGCTAACCCAGACTACCCAGCAATCCCTCCAGTTTGCTAAATGCTTTGCTGCTCTAATTATCTCTAAATTGAGGACATTTAACATTTCTTTTTAAGAATAAATTAGTATCCTGTGGGAGCAGCCAAACCAACTCAGACTCAATCTACTACTTTGGATGTTTCTACTCTATTTAAATTTTGTTAGGAATAAACATGACTTACTTCTAGCAGTGTATCATCTGCCCGCCTCGCTGCTGGTATTGCCTAAACCAGGGGTGAGGCACCTTTTCGTGTTAGAAGGCTGCATCCATTTAGCTGTAATCAAATAATGCTGCATTCAAGAAGCTTCAACTAGATGTACTTTAAAATGTATATTATTTTATAAAAATCTAACTACTATATACTTAATACTTTCACAAAATGAAAACTATTTGTTAATTTTAAAGACAACTAAACTTGTAATGACTTTGTTGTGTCTGCATTTTGTTGGAAAGCATTTGAATATTTGGTTGCAGCATGGAGTCCACAGTTGCAGTTGATCCTCTAGATGGGCATCAGTCATTTGTGACCTTACAGGAGTCTTGATTTGGGTTAGGTAGGAGAATGTAGATTCGCAGCAATAAGTGGTTGAAAAGCAAGAAAACATTTTATGGGCAGGTTGTTGAAACGTGGGTATTCTGTAGTTTTTCATATTGCAGTCGGATCTTTCTTAGCATCAAACAATGACTTTAAAATGTCATCTACCGAGAGCTCTATCAATTCCATCTGCAGTTCTTTAGGTGCCTTGGTGATGCCAACTAGGTGAGGCTGAAATGCTGATATGAGTGTGATGTTATGATTTTCAAAGTCAGTGAAACTGAATTTGAAAATCATAACTTTTTTTTTTTCTCCAGTTCTCTGAATTGGAGAATTAGAATTAGGTCTGTAACAGCTGAGTATCCTTCAAATGATTAGCATATATCATTCTACTCATCAGTGACCTTTGCTAACTGGGGAAAATGTTCATCTGAAATTTCCTTTTGACCTGGGTGTGGTGGCTTATGCCTGTAATTCCAGCAGTTTGGGAAGCTGAAGTGGGAAGATCACTTGAGGCCAAGAGTTCAAGGCCAGCCTGGGCAACATAATGAGACCCCATCTCTAAAAATAAAAAATGAAATTTCCTTTTGAAGAAGTGTTTTGGAAAAAAAAGATAGGTTTTTTTGTTTTTTTTTTTTCAAAATGCTTGGATTTTTTGGCCACATATCGTATATAGACTGTTTTGCCCCACAAAGAAATATTTAAGTTGTTTTGATTGGACATGATATCACACAACAATGCCACATTCCAATAGAAATCTTTCAGTAATTCACATTGCTGCTTCTGTTCTTCATAAAATTTAACTATCTGTTCTCATAGAGACAACATTTTGGCTAACACCTGTTCCTGTGATAGTCAATGCAGTTGAGAATGATATAGCAAATCCACACCGAATACCTCATCCTTCAATTTTAGCATGTTTTGAAACTGCATTTGAAGGAATATAGTTGATGATACTTATAACTTGTTGCAAAGTGTCACTTAAAATAGTAGCTTTAGTAGAGAGATTTTGCTGATGCAAGATACAATGAAAAGAGAGTATCTGGATCTGTTAATACTTTTTTTTTTATCTGTACAATAAACCCTTCATGTTTTCCTGTCATGGAAGGTGCACTCACTAAATTTACCAAATTCAGTCCAATTTTACAACCTTTATCTTGAAAGTTATTGAAGATGTCTGTTCCCTCTGTTCTGATTGCAAGAGTGCCTAAAGCATGTAACTCTTTTTAGCAAAGAAAATCTTCTGTTATGACCTGAATGAAGTATAACGCCTGCTCTGAGTCAGTAGTATCAGTTGATTTATCCAAAGCAATTGAATAATATATATTTTCTTTTGAAGTATTGCATGAAGTTGTTCTGTTATGTTGAAGGCTAATTCATGCTGCCCATCACTCATGCTTCTCCTTGAAAGAGGCAGTTAGTTGTTTGTACTTGAAACGTTATTGGGATCTAATCATGCTACAGCTTCAACAATGTGTTTTTTCACAATTTC